GGGCTTACCCGACGGACCTTCCCTTGCGAATTAGAATGCCGGCGTGGACGCGCCTTGGGAATCCATCTTGCTTCTTGATCCTCGTCCTCGTTCGATTTCTGGCCCGACGTCGTGTGGTACAAGGTACAAGGGAAGTAGAAACGAAAAGAGGTGGCCGCGTCAGCGTCGTAGGCTAACGATCGCCTGTAAAGTGAATACGAAGCGAAACGACGCGCTTCGGTGCAATTGGGATTCAAAAGAGAATTCCTGGTGTGCTCGTGACGGCTGGATCGTTAGGAATTTTACGTATAATAATAACAATCGAACGTTACTCCGTTGATCCTCGTATACACGGGTTCTAGCCGTTAACCTGGATTACGTTGAAAATGTGATTTATCAGACGAATGGTAAAGCGCCGGCTGAACCAATAAACCCGCGACTCCTATGCTCGTTTAACACGGTTCATTCTTATACGCGACAGCCGGATTACGTTGGCACCGACCGCCTCGAGTATCGATACGCTTCTTGTCGATCGTCTCAGATCGAACGTAGCGGACTGTGATTGGCAATCGGTTGAACGTCAAGAAACTTGCATCGTCGATGTTACCTTACCTTTTTCCGCTTCGGTTATAGCGTACGTTAAGAGTGGCGCCACTGTAGCGGAACCGTGGCGCCATCTTGGTGTCCGCGTCGATTTCTGACGTAAGATATAGATTCAACGAATTCGTTCGTTATATCGAACTATTCGACCCGATAAACGTATACGATAACAAACAATAACAATGGTACCGATTTTAATCGCGCTTATGTGTGCATGTGTGTACAGTTGTGCAGTAACGTCTAAAAAAAAGAAACTTAACCCTAACCTTACTCAAGTCGGACCTAACCTCGCATAACATAATCAGAGTAAGCCATAACGTAACAAAAGCGGACCTAACACTGTAACGATGTATATTTATACTACAGCTGAGTACGGAGCGAGGGGAGAGCGCTAGTCAGCTGATTCAGCCGCTGGTGGGGAAGAATGAACGCGGGTGGAGGTGGACGATGAGGAGAAGGTTGTAGGTGAGAGCGAGCAGAGGTTTTATTTAAATCGCCATAATAACCTACAGCCTTTATTCTCGTATATTTTTTTTTCTGCATTTTCATTATTATTATTAACGCGATTATCGTATCTGTCTCTCTCGCTCGCTCCTTCTCCATCCTCTTTCTCTGTCGCGTACACACGGATTCGCTCTATGCTTGGTGCCATTCAGGATTCGGTATCGATGTCTTTTTTTTTCATATTTGAATCTTGTCCCCCCCCTCTCTTTATTTTGTCTTATCTATCTCTCGAGGCTGATTCCAACGGGTGACCCTACATGCCCTTCACGTAACCTCCCCTCCTCGTAATTCTTCACGTGTCTCTCCTGGTAATTACACTCGGCTCGGGCCTCAATAATTGCATGGCGGTTGATTGAGATGGTGCGAGAGGAGGAGGGGAAGTGCTGGTGGCGG